CTCAATTGATGTGTAGTTTGTCTTTCACAGGTGCTAGAATCAGAAATTCAAGAAAACGACTGGCTTAATCTGTATACTGAGTTTGCATTTCATTCGATACGGGAAAGACGCTTGGTATGTTTTTACTGTTTTACACCCCTTTGGGTATGGTTATAACATAGTACTCCAATGCCGCGTGTGTTGCTAAGTTTTATGCTCTTTTGTGTCACAGACGAGGCTCAAGTCTACTGTGCCTTTGAAGATCAAGAAAGTGGTCGTGCAGACTCGTGAAAATGTGGAGTCAAGTAAGAAGTTGAAGTCTGAGAATGCGATCTTTTACATTAGCTTCAGTGACTGTGGTCAGACAGAAGATCACAGAGCAATTGTAAGAAGAACCACAGATGGGATTCCAGGCCACGTTTGTCTTGAAGTCAAGGTTAATGAGCTTGACTAAAATTTGTTAACTTCAAAAAGTTAAATAATTATGTTGTAGTTTGAAGTAATCAGGTAATGAACAGATACTGTCTATGGTTGGTTCATCAATGTGGCCTTGATTAGGCATATAACATAGGATCCGAGACGAGCTCATATTTTGGTGATGGTCCGGGCCAAGATCACAGAGCCATTGTAATAAGAACCGTCGATGGGATTCCAGGACATGTTTGTTTTGAGTTCAAGTGTTGGCTTGAGGATGATCTGAGTTTGTAGAGAAATCAAGCCAAGATATAAACTTGGTTGTGGTGAATTTCAGATGAATATTCTCTATCAACCAAATTTCCGAAGTTATTTTAGATGAAGATGAACTTCCTCAGTCTCTATCTCAGATGGTCTAATGATTGTGTGTATACATGAAGAGTTTGGATCTCAGCTTTGAGCCATGGGTAGTTTTCTGGAGTAAACGACGTACATTGGATCCGAACGCCCTGGATTTGGAGATATCTCAACAGCCTGGATTGGTCACAAGTTTGAACGAATTCATCACAAAGAAAAGAGTGAAAATAACTCTTCAAAGTGTTTCTAATAGAAAGTGTGTTGATGAACTATATAGAAATTACCTGTGGAGGTTCAAATCCTCCTGCATAGTGAAAATATGATCCAACAATGAGAGCATGATCTGCATCTCCAGTTGATGTCCATATCGAGATTGCTTTAGTAAAGAAGCAACGGTTCGAGAAGCTGCAGAGAAAGATAAGAGTAAGTGATACTGATCGGGTTGAAACCACGCAGCTACATACATATTATGGCTTCACAAGACTTTAAAGAGATAACCTCATTAGTGCAAGTCCACCGGGCTTGAGGATTCTGTTCATTTCCTTGAAAACTTCAAGTGGTTTCGTAAGATAATCCACACTTACCTGTTGAGATACAAAGAAACATATGAAGATTGGAAATAACTTAAGATTCAATTAAGAACTAAAAGTTTTAGAGAAGATTGATAAACTTTAATCTTACCACATTGGTAATAACTTGGAAAGAATTGTCCTCAAAAGGCAGCTTCGGATTGATATTCAAGTCTTGGACTATGTACTCGGTGAGAACCTGAGAGAGAGTAGATAAGATCCTATGATATGATAATCCTTCTCAAACCTAAATGGTAAATATGTAATCTTGAATCTTCTTTACCGGATTGCGCTTAAGTTCTTCTTCGTTCATACCCATTCCAACTATACGTTCTTGCTTATACCCGGCTGGATAATGACTGACCTATGTAACATCATCATAAGAGCCAATAATCTAACTTCAGGGAATTCTCAACAGAAACTTATGACAACACAAAAAATAGATTTAAGGATTTGAATTTTGTGCTTACCCAACTGCTACACATATCGAGTATGCTCACTCCCGGAGAATCGCTCTGAGGCAAAACCTTTGAGTAATACTTTGTCAATGCAGCTATTGCTGGATCATCAATGTGTGTCACAAACCTTGGAGCTTCGTAGAATGTTGAATCAGACGACCT